ATGCGGATATGAAATGATTTCGAATTATTCGTTAGTTTCGGATAATTTCGGTTACGGATAATATTTTTTTAAGGAATTTCAACAGTAAAATACAAATAGCTGATAAAATGGTTACATAACGTGTTTCAATTAGGCTCCGCCCCTATCCGATATTGTCCCAAACTTAAATTTCGGATTCGGTTACGGTTACGGAGCTCCTTAACTGTTATGAAGCATTTCTAGATGGCAGCTAGTAGTATTCAGTAGATATCTCTGTATCTAGTCTATATAATAGTCTAATAAATTATTTTTGTCGTACATGTCACACAATTCCTATTAGGTACTTACGGAATATTTAAAAAAGGCATTCAATTTTATTGAAATGTTGTACGCACAGAATAACAGTACTAAGTGTTAATAGATCACAGTCGAAACCGTTAGTAATGTTAACCATTCATCAAACACAGCATGCTTTTCTATTGCTAGCACTCGCAATACAGTTGGTCATGCATGTGCCACAGAATGTCACAAACATAGTTATAATAGCGGTCTTGTCGGGTTGGAAGTTTGTTCGTAAACGTATCATTTGTTTTCCAAAACATCCCATCGTAAATTCGTTGAGAGATATGCAAACAAAATGCTGAAGTAAAGTATCTGTAGAGTAAAGTATATGTAATTATAATTTATATCTAATACGTTCATATTGGGGACTTAACTAACTTTTTTTTTATTCACGCTGTCAAATTAAAATGAAAACGAAGTGTTTTACGTAACTTATTTACTGTTTCTTGGAAATATTGCTATAGTAAATTGGTTACTATCTCTAGCTAAGTACGAGTACGTAAAGTATCTATGTTATTAATATATTAATAGGCATATAATATACTACTTATTTAACTAAAATTTCCAACCCAGTTTTTGCATGTTCCAATAGGATTCAAAACTGTATCTATCTACGTGAATCTAGTGAGTTCCCGAATACTCAACAACGCACGTATAACGTACCTATATTTGTATATATATTTAAAGGAGTTATATATATATATCTATTTATTTAAAAGGAGACAATGGAGAACGATGCACTAGCCTGCGGGGCACCATTGAAATATGAGTATAAAGTCATGTTATTTAACGATAACGATGATGGTTTCCAGGGAAGAACGAGTCCCCATTAGCTACTAATAAATTTTACATATTTAGATTTTATAACCAATTTATAACTTGAATACATTATATTTAGCACTACTAGTAAGGAAACTGCGGTCTATTGTTTCATAAATTTCAAAATTAATAATATTGACAAGTCTTTTGTCTTTATACCTATTGTAATATTTCAACTTTTATTTACATAAAGTCACGCAAAATTGAAACGAGTCCCTGAGCGTGATCGAACTTGTCTTTCTTGATGGAATCCGCTTGGGACATCTGGCGTTTTATAGGTAATGATGAAATTAGGTGCTTCCACTAGTAGTACCACCTCAATATATAATAAGATAAAAATAAAGTTAGGTCCTAGAAATATAAATAACATAGTCAAAATAAACTTAATATCTATCTATATATCTACTTTTTGTTCTAACGAGACTGCCGATTAAAATAGCTATATAATTAAAATTGGACACAGTTTTATGTATTATTTTTACTTTTATAGTAGGTAACCATAATTGAGCATGGCCAGCCATTATGTCTATTCAAACGGCGTACATAGATAAATAGTAAATAATTCAATTGCATTACAACACTTAATAAAAAGAATGACACGCCATGCCTAATCCGACCACTCGACCCGTTTAAAGCGGGATAATTTGACTATTGGGCTGTTTATCTCGGTGTTACCAGCCAGAATAGAATATAGCAAAAATGTCCCTTTTTGCAGATAAATATGCAAACGGTTATCACTAGAAGTAAGAAAAATAGAACACGAAGGTGGGTTGCATTAAATTATTCTTATACTTCTCAAAATAAGAACAAATTACAGTATAACTAATATTTTTTTGCCGGTTGCCATAAATAGCCGGTCGTCTGTCTCATTGTTTGTAATGGTCATTTCTTTTCAGGGCTGGAACGCCAATGTGAAATTAGTTCTGTTTGCCACTTGTCTATTATGAGTTATAGCTGACGCAGTTCGATAGATATGATTCCAATATTATGTTAGCTATATATTTGAATTAGTTTACATTGTACACCTCTATTGTAATAATCTGTAAGGGTGTGATATAATAAAATAATTTAAGTAGATAACCATATAGGTACATGAGTACATCAGCTCCAGTGCATCCCTTATAAATAGTGAATATGTAGGCCCTACTGCGTCTATGAAAACAACTCGAATAAGAATATCTAAATACTAACAGATGTCCGCCCTGATAGTCTGCTTGGAATTGGTACTTCGGGTATAGATATTTCGTCTGTGTCTGTCCTGGCGATTTAAGTTACCTTTCAACCGTTACCGTTAAGATCCTTTGAACCGTTTAGTCGTCAAAAAGAAAACAAATAGACAGACAAACAAACTTTAGCAGTTTCAATGCTAGTATGGATTATAATAGAAACAAATCTAGATATTCTTAATAGTTATAGACAGTTTTGTCTCGATTATATACCTTTAAATTTTATTAGAAGCAGAAATTGTAATAGTTCGTATTAGAGACAAATAAAGATTATTATTATTATTATAAGTATAACGAGCATCTATTTGTATATCGCCTGCTTATATGTTGACCTACTAGGGTTTATATTAAGTAGACAGGGTCAGTGGTAATTGGTTAGTCGGCCAGAAAGCCCGTGAGTAGATGCTCATGAAACTCGTTCACTCATGAAAACATTCTCAAAGTAGCCTAGTCGAAATCGATCACATAATTGGCGTTCATTGTTCATGTTCATGAAAGTTTAAACATGTTTTTATAGACAACGACAGGCTTCTTGGTACAATTTGTCAGTATCTCCGTATTTACCATAACGGAGTTATATTTTTTAATGTAATCGGAATAGCAAACAAGCTGACGCGACGGCCCATTATGCCTACACGGCGGCGCTACGCACAAAACGTTCTGGAATACTACTCATGCATTGTTATCCAACTGTTCTCTGAACTAAGATGTGATACACTTCATTCATACTTCTTATCCTGTAATTTCACTGCCTAATGTGGATCTTATATCCGAAATTCAGCCAGCTTTGTAAGCTCGTCGGCTGAAACAGGTGAGGCTGAGATACCTACGTACGCAGACGTTTACAGTTTACCTCCAAAGTATGAACTTGGTAGACTCTATACTAATGACAGTAACCCTACGTATGTATTACACTAGTTGTCATACAAACTTTTAGCATAATCGCAAAGGTGGGGATCGAGAATGTTTAAACAAGTGTCGTGAGTCAATATTAGCAAGGTAACATGCATATTACATATATACTTCATGCTATGATTGTTTCCTATTGAGGTAGACAGAGATAATAGAACGCTAAACTGCTCCGATTCAAACAAATCTCTTTTGTTTCATCTACTATTATTATTTTTTTTTTGCGGTTTTTTTAAATAGATACAGGAATACATATAGGAAGGTTTATATGTATAATACATGTACACCCGTGTGAAGGCAGGGCGAGTAGCTAGTAATCGATAAAATAATAAATATATGAACTACTGAAAAGTTATTTCCCTGTTACATTATTTCAGAGTGGCATAGGCTATATATAAATATTATTATATACAAAACTCACAATGTTATGAGCACCCGGACTCGACGTATTGCATTATTATATAATAAAAGCACGTATGCTTGGTCTATACTTTATAATATGTAGATATATGATATTGATTATAATATGCTGTAAAACTACAAAGAGGTAAGTAAATGATAAGTTTTTATCTGTGCATAATCTATTCGAGGTATCTACCTATATAATTACGTGATTGATAACATATATAAATATAGTCTCAATAAAACGATTAATTTTCAGATTTTGGTTTTAGATACGAAACTTCGGCATTGACTGTATTTTGGTTTATAATTATTTATCGCCTTTACATAAATAGGTAATATAAACAAGTCTTATTTATAGTTTACAATGTAAAATTATTAAAACGTAATTTAGTACTTTATAATTAGTACTACTAAATTGTTACAATAATACAAAAAAGTTATGTTATCAGCGAGTGGCAGTCTAATTCATTTTCATAAATTTTAGATTTTCCTACAATCATTGTGGGTGCTAATTTTGTATAGGTACTTAATATAGACAAATATTTAAGTTGTAGTAGACGAATTAAGCAATTATAACCATCACCAGAAAGAACAAGATTGTCAAATCAATATCTGGACTTACTCAGAACCCTACAGATGTTATGTGCATAAATTAAGTTCGTGGTTTAAGTCTTGGTTAGCCGATTCTGTAATCTCATTTCCCAGTATTTTGGCAATAAAAAGTGTGAATAATAATCTAATATCAATTTTACTCGTTAAAGTTAAAATATATTATATACTTATTTATAATAAGGAATTCAAGTAGTAAGTCCAAATTTGTGGCTTGTTTAACTGTGATTGCAAGTCATAAGTATAAGTACATAGTCAAGTCATACCTACTAAGATAGCGCTTACGACCAAAATAACATAATTATAATATTTATAAGGTCCAAAACAATAAAGATGTTTAATTATTTCACTATGAATCAAATTGGCTAAAATGTTTTTGTATTCAACAAACAATACAAATTATATCTATTTCTTCCATTAAATAGAATACATATAATACCACGGGAAATATGTGACTACTAGATGGAAGTACCTATAAGTATATTTACTAAACATAGGAATTTATTATGATTTAATATTCTGACAGATAGAATTTATAATGATATGTATGTATGTATATAATTCATTCTGATATCAAAATATTGGGACAAATAGGAATACTTTACTTGCTGCTTTGAGGTAGGTATGTACCTATAATGAGAATAGAACTGATAATCATATTCACAGATGATATTTACGTATACATAAAATAGTCAATAGTGATTTACTTACATAAAATTCGTACTGCACAGACGACTGATAAGTGATAAGAGTCACAAAGTCAGGTAAGCGTTGTGAAAATAATAATGTTAAAACAAAACCGTTTGTATTTTCACTAAATACGAAATAGCACTCACTTTTAGTCACGATTTCAATGTATATTATACGGGTGTATGGTACATTTGTACGTCGATATTTCGACTTCGATAAGACGAGAGAGGCGCGCGTTCGCCGAGGTCTATCGGGTTATTGGTTCTACGGGCAGAGTGCGCGCGCAGGTCGCACCGCGCCGCCTGCCGCATATCCACGCCGCATTGAAGACTGCCGCGCTTGACAATTGTTATGCCGTTTCAAATCTGATATTCAGTTATTCGCGATATCAATGACGGACACACTAAAGAAACACAATAATGATATAGTCTCCGTTATAATGAGAAAAACACTGATGAAATTGCTTACGGCGCTCTACTAGGTACCTAGTACCTTATAAAATTGCAGAAGAATCTTTAGGTGATGGTTGTTTACCCCGTATTATTGTATTGTTGTTGTGACATTCACATCATTAACATGCCATAACACAATGTCATGGCATTTGATCAAGTGGTGGTAATGATGCGCAGCTGGGTGCCAACAAACAGCAAATTCGTCAGTTCAGTCTCTAGCACATTTATTTATAACGCGGAAATCTTGTTCATCCGGCTGTCAGGCATTTCGATAGGTGACACCCAAAGTAGTTTCTTTTAACTGATACTGCCCCACTGTCTTAATAAATCTCATAATTCAGCTGTAACCAACTGTCCCAACTGCAATGGTTGGGCAATGGTTCATGGCATAAATAGCGATGTCAAACTTCTTTTTTTAAATAACAACCCGCGACATTCATAGGAAGTTAGTATTATGGTTAGGTTAGTGATTGATGAAATCATATATTTTTATAGGTTCTATGCGGTAGGTACAGTGACTAAATAGTGGCATAAGTAGGTTAAGTAATCTACCACAGTGATATGATATCATAATAATTATACGACTGACATTTGTATCAGGTGTCTTGAAGATACACTTCTGGACGCCAACCAGTATAGTACGAACAGAATGTTTATTTGTATTAATATTAATATACATAAACATTCTGTTCGAACGGAACGGAATAAACATTCTGTTTGTACGAACATACGTTTCATTCATTCGTTAGTGTAATATAATAATTCTCACGTACTAATATACTAATTACATACTTAAGTAAATGACAATTCAAAATATTTTTATAGCAAATAACTAGGTTCCTACTTATCAATTACAGTTAAGTGATAAGGTGAAAAAATGTTAACTAATATATATATTATCGCAGATTACTCTAGGTGATATTTATCATCAAAATCAGTTCAGTAGAGAGCCCTGATAAGAAGTACGAAAAAGTATTAATATTATATGAACATGCTATATTAAATTATTTCTATAAAACAACTCAATAGAGCATGAAAATTATCTATAGTCCGTAGCGTCATGATATTCTTCTGGTATTGTCATCCTGTTGCTTGTATCTATGTATGTGGTCTTCCTTTCCTCCGGCCACCGTAAGAACCTTCACAGCAAACTCCCCTTACGGCGGTTTATTTTGGTTTTTGTGGTAAACAAGCTTATGGTCCACCTAACGGTAACCAATAATGATAGCTTATGTAAACGGACCACAATACCGAATGCACTATATTATGACACCCATGCATTGCGATCCTATACAACTAATGTCATACATCCTATCCTGTAATTTCTCTGCCTAAGCACTCTCCAACTTGACAATCTCTCCAACAAAAATTGACAAAGCAAGCTGCTTGATGGCTGAAATAGTTAAGACAGAGGTACCCACGCAAATAACTTATTATATTTTACCTCTAGTAGGTATGAGATACCTAACAAATTGTTGCGTTGTTGGGTCTTTTTCACCCATCTGCTCGGGAGTTGAAAAAAGATCCGTCGTCGTCTAATGACACTGTCTCAATACATATAAGTCACGTGTACAGGATGCTTTACCATGTACTCCGATGTGCTATAACGGACGCATGATTGCATTATACGAGAATTCGATATACTTATATAAATAACTGCAGTCAGTAAAAATCTTACGTGTTAATATTATAATAATTAAATAAAAGTGACGGGTCAGAGCTAGTCCAGAAATGTATAAAAGTTGTTAGTAATAATTGACTCGAGCTGCTTTGTCTGCGTCACATTTTCTCCGTTTTGCAACAATTTTTATTCACGCATTATTTATACGCTTCTATTGCTTGTAGCATAATTTTGTAGGCTATTTAGCTGTACTTATTTATTTATATATTTTTTAAATCGGATAATAAGTCCCGGTTATTACCCGGAACATCCAGATTCACATCTTTGGATAACAATGAAGTAAGCACCATGATGGGTTAACTGACTTGACTTCAATCTCAACTCATCATTCTTCACTAATATTCCGCAAGAGTATACCATTAATGCTTGTTTATCATATAAAAAGAATACGAATAGATACAAAGTAGTACAGCAATCAGTGTAAGAAACTAATATTGTTATCAGGTTGTATTCTACTATTAATAAATAATATTATTATTCATTTAGTGTCCACATATATACCTGAAAAATAAGTACGTTAACGTATACGTTTGTGTAGTAGCTGGAAGCTTCGTGGTCAAGTGATTGATAAGATATTGAGGTCCTACATTTGATCCCTACGGAGTTAACTGTATGGATATAGACCTTATCCACGGTGGACAATATTTTTAATTTACATTGAGTTTTAGAAGCTATCATTGAATCCGTACTCATCTAATACCTATGCGAGTGTCTATTTCTTACCTTGCTACGTTTGAACGGATTTTAATAAAATTTAATACGATACGATAAAATTAATCATGAGGACGGATTCGGTTCATAAGGTATTATAATGTTACGAGTTCCAACAATTTATGATAATTAAAAATAGCCCATAATTTTTATTATAATGAATTGTTGGAACTCGTAACATTATACCTGAAGAACCTAAGTAGGCACAAATACAGTGTATATGGTAATACCTTTTATATGTAGATTATTTCGATTGTAAAAGTAATGATCGTAAATTCAGTTGTGTACTAGGTATATATGTATGTTACAAAACTGAATTTTCGTTGTAAGTCACATAAGAAGTAGGTAATTTGTGTGTGAATACGGAAAATTATACTGCATTTGGTGACGGCTAAAATACAATCAAGAAATATTTCAATTCTACTTAATCACTTAGTACGGAGTCCATAACTATGTATACATGGTATTCGCAGTAAAAAGATCTTATATATGTGATGCTTAAAATTAACAGTAGCAAACAGATTGGCGACTAAAATAATTTGCTACAATATATAGGTGAAAAACGCAGTGAAATTATAATTTCAGTCGTTTCCGAGATTAGCGTGTACTTTAAATGTAAACATATTATTTATCTCTTCAGCATAAGTACAATGTATACAAATAGTTGTATGAAAAATATATTAATGTAAATATGTACATAAAAGCTTATTTAACATTTCATTATTGGCACTACAAAAACAGTGCAATTGAAGGAAAACAAAACACAAAATATAACTCTATACTAAGTACCTACGTATGTGTTTATATTAATTTTACTTTAATTATCCTGCATTTATAGAACTGTTTTCAAGAGCAGAAATAAATTTGAATATTGTAGTAATGACTATCGTACACACGGTTTATTATTGTAATTGATTTGTTATAGAAATTAACGAACAGACATTTTTTATATAGGCACCTCACTAGTATGTAGGAACTTGCACGAGTACAACTTAGTACTTAATATTATTTTCAACGGGATATACTACAAAATGAAGTGAGTTCATTATTTATCTTGGAGCCGTGATGTCTTAACAGAACCTTTTGAAATTTCATAAGAGTAGTATTTAATAGAGTATACATGGTAGTGGTGTAGTGTGTGCGTACCTTAGTCTTACATATTTCAACCGCCCAGCAGTTAGCTTTGAGAAGAGCCTTGACATTTTAGTCCTCCAGGATGGCGACGCATGAGGGGTATCATAGCGGTCACATTATAAAGTGATGTATGTGATACTCTTAGCATGTATAAAGGTGACGGTTACCGTTTTCCATCAGATGGGCCGTCACCTTGTTTGTCATTTCAATTACAAAAAAAGATCCATCCTGGACAGTCAAAAACAGGCAAAAACTGTTAGCGAATCTTACCATTATTATTATATATATATAAATGTTTAGGTAATAAAAAAAAATGTATTCTTACAAAATCACAGTTTTACATTGATTTAAGAGCCACGTTTGATATTTGTGCCTGATTCCAAATAAACTTGTAATACAAAAGTAGTGGCAGAGTCATAGAAAAAATGTTAATGATAACATTTCTAATATTAAATTAAGTCAAAAGATGACAACCCTATTGCCTATACAAAATGTTTTTCAATAAATAAGATTTTAAAGTGGTCATCACTAACGAACTGAAACATTACAGTGGAATGAAATAGAAATATTTGTCTGGTGCCATTTAAGTTTTATTTATATTTATTCCCCCAAATATTTTATACTACAAAAAGAACTTAACACCTCCCCTACACTAATAGTCATGGGTATTATTACAAAATTATATGTCGAAACATTACCATAGACTACTCTAAATAAAGTATAAAGCAATTTGATTCATATACCAATAGAATCTACATAATAAGCTAAAGCTACAAGTCACCATAAAAATATTTGTAAGTCTCACTATAAGTATACATTTATAGGAGCCTGATGAGGTTAAATTTTATGTGCTACTACTAAATACTTCATAAATATTTGCACCTAGTAGTTTCAGTTTTTCATTAAGTGTGAGTTGCTGTGTTAATAAATCTGGAATGTTAGTATTACCCTTGCACATATTCTTGGTAATTAGTTCATTCACCACAGGGATCAACTTGACAAAGTGTAATTCCACCTTATTTACATCCACAAAATTATTTGAAGATGCCCCTAATTTCAATGCTCCATTTGTTATGACATGTTCATCGATTTCCAGATGATTCTTAGTAGTTGGAGTTGACTTGTTTACAAATAAGTTTGCAATTTCATCAATAACAGAAGAGAAACTTCGGCTAACTGATGACATTGCAATAGATGTCACTTCATCACTTTCCAATATATCCATTGTTTCTTTGACCATAGTATCTAGTCTGGCTTCATTTATTTCTGTGTGTCCAACCAAGTAATGTACCATTTTCTTTACAGGATCACCATCTGCTGTATCAGTGCATAAAATAGTTTGTATTGACCAAAACAATTGTTCCACTTCTTGTAAGGTGATTTTCTTTTTTAATGAAACTGGTTCTACTACTCTTTTCACAGCCTTCTCAATTTGTTTCACTAAATCCTCAACACCTTGTCCAACAAAGTGATGGCATAAAGACAAGTATCTTGCCTGTAAATCACTATCTATAAGTGGGTCCTCGTCATTTACAGAGTCTCTGTAAAGATAGCCACCCACTATATTTAGTTGAACTCTTAATGTCACTTGAAGTATGCTTAGAGCATACACAAGGACACATATTCTAGTGAAAATCATGAGCTTCAATTGTTCCCATAGTGCTAATTTGTTTTCAGGGTTTTCTTGTAATTTTTGGACTATTTCCTCTGTATTTAGTAATCCTAATATACTTTCCGATACAATTTTTGATAAAGAAAGTATGGTTTGAGTACAAGTACGTTCAGTGCTTTCAAAGTGCTGTTTTTTACGGGTCATCTCAAAGAACCTTTTAGCTTCTTTCTCTTGCCATTCTCTCAACTTTCTCTGAGCATAATTTGATAAAATGTACAGTCCTCCAAATACTGTACCGGTAATAAAAAACTTCCTTCGATGTCGGTGCAGAAAATTTCGAACACTAGAAAACATGGCTGAAATATTAGGATACTGAGTTTTCAAAATTACTGAAATTCAAGAGGAGCTTCTGAGCGGTATTTAGTAGTGTTCATCAGCCGTCTAGTGATGAATGTAGTTGTATCAATGAATCTTTCAACACAGTTCATTATACATACTTCAGTCTTAGAATCGAGACGGTTCGTAGGAGATCCCATACAGGTATCCCAACATGTATCTGTTAGACCATGGACCAGAACCTGAAAATATTGTAACAATTTTGGTGTATTACTTGTTTATATAATTATTAGAAAGATATTGGCTAATTTTGTATAACCCAATGGATGACAATTCTCATTATAATGGGCAATTCGTATTACAAAAACATTTGTATTGTTGAACAGATTACAATTAAATTAGATCAAAGGTCAGAAAGACCTAGAGAATAATAATTAGATAGTAAAATTAAAGACATCGTTGTTATTACTTCTAAATTTTGTTAATGCTTTGACAATAAAATAATAAAACGATTGTAACCTGAAAACGTTGCTTCTGTGTTTCAGCTACTATGAAATCCTGTAACTGCGGATCCACGCTTTCTTTATCGTTCATAATCAGCACGATAATACATATTCTGTACTATCATAAAAAAAAGGCACCGAATGACTGAAGCAATAGCAAGAATGTAATAACTGAGGAAAATAATAATTAGTTTCAATGGCCACCATTCAAAAATTCTAATGTTCGATGGTTAATATAAGATAGATAAAAAAATAAGATAGCTTAAATTTATTCAATTGATTGAAAATTATTATGTATCCAGTAGGTAATAATTGTATTGTCAAAAAAGGAGGAACGTAAATTTGAATGACAAGGCAAAATGACATTATGTCATTCCATATTTACATTGCTGCTTGTCATTGATTTTTGATTTTGATTTCCATAATAAAATTAAAATTCAATTTTTTTTATGAGAAACTAACACAAATTTATTATGTATCTGAAGTCATCTACCTATTTAATTAAGAATTATTGTTCATGACAATATAATGAAAAAAGAGAAACTTCGGCTAGTATAGCGTCAGAAGATATAATTTATTAAATTAATTTATAAATTTTAAATAATTATGATTAAATGTAACTAATATCTACTATTTTGAAAATTAAGTATTACTGTTTAGCTGTTCTCTACCATAGCAATTTTATTTGTATCTGTTGCCAAAATATCGGAAAGAGACAGAATACCTTACTCTGAAGAGTAATTCTCATACGAGAATTAGTTTCCATATAATTATAAAACAATCAAAATTAAATTCGGATTTATAAATTGATAATTAACAAATAATGAAGACGTTGTGAAAAATATAAATGAATATTTACTACTATATTTCGCTAAATTAAATAGTTTTATTTTTTCTCGAGATAATCTTCAATGTTCCATTGCCTTATATAATAGGTGTATATTTCTTTAAATTTGAAATATAATTTACTCAGAAATGTAAGGTAATTAGTTATTATTAATCCAATTTAGCTGAAAATCAATTTATATTCAATAGCACCAAATATATGACTTATATCGATACAAAACGATAGTCGCAATGCCTATTTTTACATGTCAAATTTAGTCTTTGTATCTTTCTCTATGGTATTTTTAGATTGTTTTTATTTTATAGTGATTTTACAATTTTGTTTTCTAACCCTAAATATACCAATTACTGAAAATTGAAAAATATTTAACTTCAGGCTAAATACTTATTATTATGGATCACACAAGCATTTGGAACTTTCTTGATGACAGCGATTTGAGTCAATATAGTTTGATATTACCAAGTGTTGCTGTTGGAAATGTTGGGCAGTTGGCCTGTGACTTGCTAATTTCATCGTTAAATATGAAAAAAATTGCATCGGTTTATAGCTCAGCTGTCATACCCGTATTAGGATATGATCCTTACAATTTGCATTCAACCAGTATATCAAACAGTTGTGAGATTTATAAGTGTGAAATAAGAAATATTGTTGTTTTGCAGTTAAGAGCCCCACTTGTTTACAAAAGTGCACGAAAGTTTCTAGAAGAAGTTGTAAGGAAATTCAAAGAGAAGAGCATAAAAGATTTTATTATATTAACAAGTAGTTTTGCTCATGAAAATAAACACATATCTACCTCACCATTTAGATATGTGTCTAGTGACTCATGTTCACATAAGAAAAAAATGTTGGACTTGAATTGGATAGAACATAAATGTGTTGATACATTAAAGATATATGGTGGAGGATTTGCTTCCTTGCTGTATGAAGTCTGTCAAGAAAACTATATTCCCTGCTTCATTTTATACAAGTATTGTTCAGAAGGAGACAATATTCCTGATGCTTATGACATGATCAGTCAGTTGTCAAGTATTGTAACATTATTTTCAGAGAAATCAGATTTATTGTCACAAATGGTGCAGCCAGTTTCTTGGAAACTTTTGTTTGGCAGGCCACCACCAAGAGATATTTATTAAAATTGTTAACGTTAATTTTTGTTTTACTAATTTTTAATTTATGTCATATTACTAAACCTTGTGTCAGTGGATCTGTCATCATCAACAGTGAGTCATTCCTCCCATGACACAGGCCTGCCTTTTTTTAACTATTTATATTCTGTTTTTTGAAAATATAAGGCCATCCACATCGAACCCTATAATACATAATCCATATAATAAATATATCCTCATCAAATTTCATTAAGATGTGTAATTATATATTACACATAACAAACATATCGATATATATATATATATATATATATATATATATATATATATATATATATATTATATTCAACATAGATGTAAGATATATACATATTTACAATAATTATATGTATATATATAATCTATAAATAATTCAAATCTGGTCAATTTCTCTGGTGGAGCAAAACACCGACAACTAACCAAAAATTAGGGAGAGGGACTGTGGTAGACTTGCCCCCAGCCGCATTGTATTCAAATTTACCGAACTAAATGGCACGTCAAGTGTTGCGTAACGTCATCGTAAATTTATATTATAAATTATTATTAAATGGTGTGGCATGACTTATAACAATCATCTAACTAAAATGTCCAAGTACTCGTAGATATGGTACTGTAGCGCGGTGGTCATACCACTGTAGCGTTATATTAGATACTAGCTACTCGCCCGGGTGTTAATGTATTATAATATATATAAACCTTCCTCTTGAATCACTCTACATATTAAAAAAACCTATACTATGTAATAATGATGATGATGAGGTGTCGTTACTTAATTTATTTGTTTCCTGTAGTATCTAGGTAGTGGATATACGAGTATAGGTGTAATTGAACTACATTAGTAAGTTTATTTGATAGTATGCTATATGGCTTATTAGTAACGCGTACATTCGACACGGAGTCATAAAGTAGACCGAACTTAAATTTAAGTTATGTGGAGACGTAAACAAATGGAAGTGTGCCGAGGGTTGACAGATTGACAGAAATATTACAAGTGTAGGCACAGTCAGTATGCATAAGTGCATGTTTTTTACAACAAATTATATGTGCCTATAACATTTAATATATGAATATGGAATGGTCGACCCTCCTGCGGTAATGGTATACGTTGGCGAAGCACTATTGGAGGATAATAGGATGAATACGAAGTCAGGTCTGTTACCCCGTCGTGGTGAATGCACCAGGAATTAATTACGTTGGTTTCCAGTGGGTGACCGCGTGAAGGTTGATCTGTTAAGACACTTGCTAGTAATATCACTAACTTGTGCCTATTAATAACAATCCCTTCTCCCCCAACAATTTATATTTATATCAGACATCACACCTTAATAAAATATTACGTTACGGCAGGGACCCGCGTTCACAATTAGGTAGCTGTAACAGTTTGGGATTATTTCAACCTTCTTGAATAATAAAAGCATCGTAACGAATTTAATTAAAGTACGTAAGACAATGTCAAGTCAATTGCAATGATATGGCTTACGTCGAATGCCTACTAAAATTAATAGACATTGTTGTTAGTAAACAAATTAATTTTAAATCTATTCGTATAGTACACTTCTTTCATTCCTTTCGAATTGATACCGTATTTCACTTGTTTCTTTTAGTCAGCACTATGATATAAGCAAGAATAAAAATGATAAACGCGAGGGCCAGCCCAAATGTGTTACTGTAGCTTGGAAACAAGGACCACCCCAAGCGAACTAAAGTGTTATAAATCGCACGTTATCGCCTCTCAGCAATAACTACTTTATGACCCCATAAAGATAACGTAAAGTTATCTATCAGAAAATAGAGTGAGATGTAGAGATTTTTATAAACATACAGAAAATCTTGAAAAAGACGAGAACCCATTTTATGACTACAGGAAAAGTATAACGTCCTCCATATTTTTTGATCCTCCTTACTTACTTGACTTAAATTAAGTCTATCGTTAATTTTCGATTCACAGTAGAATATCGAATAGATAACCATCATCTCTCTTTATTAAAAAACATGCCCTGAATGAACTACCAATAGAAAGCCTTCATATAAATACAAAATATAGGTACATACTTGCTTATCTTATCATCCTCCACTGGTATCCCGCTAGCGTATTGCATTACCAAGGCCATATCCATATTTAAAAAAAACCCCAAACAGTAGTAAAATAGGGAATGAAACATCTTAGAATTATATTAATATGAATATTTATGTCGTAATTATAATTTTTTGAAAGAAATTTAAGGGGTACCAAAAGTAGGGATTAATAAATTAATCCCTACTTTACCGAATGTGTATAAATACACATTCGGCAAACCTGGTAGGTATGTCATTTTGTTGGGGCGACATTATATTAAAATATTTTATTAATATCATAAAGAATATTACAGACAGACCGTACCAACTATTTTATTTATATGCATAAATAAAATAGTACGAACTGTAGATATGTCATTTTAAATTAGCAGTTTTTCATAAAATGCATAATATAAGGTATTCACACACAAAAAATAATTTATAAAATTTTTATCCACCTGTTTCCTAATCTCTGAGATGGCTGGACCATTATTATTTAACTTTCACTTGCAGATAGCTGTTGTGATGACGAGTACCTTAGTTTAAACCACCACCTTTCATTTAAAAAAATATTTATTTTGAGAAAAGTTATATTCCACGCGGACGAAGTCGCAGGTTCTGCTAGTTTCAACTAAAATTGTACGCAACGACCGCAAAATAGTCGCTTCGAGGGCCAAACATTACCGCTTTTCCGGACACAAAACCGTACTGTCGTCGGGTCAGTTTGCATAGTTTCATATTATTTTTCATTATATAATTTTGATACTATTATAGTAGGAATTTCTTTAATGTTTTTTTGCGTTTTGTAATAATAATAAATATGTTTATTATGGAATCAATGGCTTCTTTTACACGTGCGCTCTATCATGCGTGAATAGGTTTTCACGCAGGAAAGAATGTAATGTAAAGGTACACAAAGAGAATGAAACAGACCATGCGCGCCGCCAACTTGCACATTCCCGTGTTTTTAAACCGTGCGTGTTTTAGCGCTTTTTTTAAATAATTAATTATCACTTCAAAATAGAGGGCATCTGATGCAAAAATATAATTATAAAAATAAATACTGTGAAATAAGAAATAAAATTTTAAAAGAAAGTGAAATAACATTTAACATACAGCGCTATCGGGCGCCAAAGAGCGAACACAAAAATAGACATCCAAATTACTCACAATTTCACGCGCTGACTTTCCCGCGCTAAATCGCGGATGCCCTTGATCACACGTGAAAAAGATTGTTGTGTAAAGGCAGATAATGGCTCATTTGTTAGTAATATGTTTTCTAATGTAATAGTATAGTTTCTTATCTATGTACTTATGTAAGTACATTAACAAAATGTTGTATTATTGGTAAATCATATTTTTTTCAGCAATGTTTTCAGATTGTTGTTAGAGTTACAGCATGTTCTAATTACATAAACATGCAGGTTTTATTTCTAATCATGGCATAAAAGTTATCTGTTCGTGCAAGAGTAACCCAAGATCTGCTTACCGTGGGACTAGATGGCGCTGTGTGAATTGTCCACGGTTATTTATTTATTTACTGGCTACTTTACAGAAACGCGGCAAGTATTGACAAGCAAGCCGACGGCTTACCTTGCATAATACATGGCAACCGTCGCCTATAACAAGCATATGAACAGCACCACAGACTACAGATTGATATATTATCTTAGTCCACTGGAATGGCAACGATTGAACCATATGCACTTGTATATTTGCTCGAGGGTTCATAGACGGTGGTAATCACTTATCGTTTTATAAGCTCCTTATATATATAAAAATAAAGGTAATATGTCATTTACACAGTGATTGTACTCTCACCCCCTGTATCTAGTATGTTTTCTATGCAGTTTTTTTCGGACTACTCCAATGCTGTTGGACGCATCTGGATTTTATAGCTTCACGGGGCGAGTGCAGATGGCTTTCCGAGCCGCGGAAAGTCTTAACAAACGGAACGACTAAAACGCTAAAGTCCCGCTTGATGGATACGACTTTAGTCTGAAGGCATCGCTAGGGGTTGGAACCTCTGCTCAGGTCGACGTAATTTCGATCACTGTTTGAATTGCACGGGGGATCGATTGGAGGGGTTCCAAGTGGTGTCATAATTAAACTACAATATTTTTTATCACAACCATGAATAATAAGTCGAAATTTACGAACATTTACAAACATAATACGAACAAGGTCGAGACAATAAACAAAGATCAATGTAATGAAGATATTTAAATAAAGCATAATGTTGAAATGAAATTTGAATATTTCATTTGCCACCCCTCCATGAATTTTCGGGTTCGTTAAAGGATACGAGTATAGGTATATAAGTAAGTATATGTCTTGTTTTTGCTGTAATAAAATTGCTATGCCCAATTTAGACATAAATAATAAGTATTTGTTTTAAAAATTATCTGTACAATTGTGTTATAGATTTCCAGAATCCGTATTCGTAACTACTATATGTACCAGTGACTTCGTACACGTGCTGTTCAGAATAATAATAGGTTATACCTAACTTATTTGTTTGTGAAGTCATTAAAATGGAACCAGTACTAATTGTTTCGTGTTGAAATTAATTAAGACATTTCTGGATAAATGTGTGGATAATAAAGGTAAAATTATATCATCATATTTAGGTAACAGAATATGATTTACCTTTATTTTTTCAAGTTATTTATTATATATTATAACTTTACCGCTACAAGGTCAACAATCAGCTGAAAATACTTATTAAAGAAATTAACATAATGTGGACTCAAGATGCAACAAAACATTTGTAACGATGTTTTTTTTTTCAATCACAATTAAGCTAGACAAGTTTCAATGAAATTTTCTACACAGACAGGCCTTATCTTATATGATATTTTTTCAACGCAAGGAAGCAACATCATGAGGTACCAATATCTGGTTAAAAATAATAAACAAATATACCTACTACATATTTCATATACTAG